AAATAATACTCAGAGTAGAGCAGAAGATGAATCAGGAGACACAGAACAACATTAAGTTTTGTATTACTTTGCTGTTAGAGCAAATCAGTTTGATACTCATGGGAAATGACATCCCTGATCTTACTAAGCTGCATGAAAGTGTTGTTGTGGAGCAAACTTATCCCAAAGACCACTGTGTATCTAAAATCACAATCCATAACATTTAGTTCTACATTTCTCCTTGCCACAGAAACATTCTTTGTGAACTTGCAAAGGTGATTAATAGAATCCTGTTAATTGATTTTGCCCAGCATCCAAAGATGGTTGTTAGGACTCTCAGCCTCCTGGTGGAAGCTGATCAGGTACTGTGCTGTGCATTGAGCTGTTAGTAAAGTCCAGGGAACCTGACTGTTTTTCTCTTTTTTCCCCAGGAGTGTTAAAGCCAGCCATATCCTGATCTCTGTAGATGGGAAGGTCTACCTCTCTGGCCTGCGGAGTAACCTGAGTATGATCAACCATGGGCAGCGACTCAAAGTTGTTCATGACTTCCCCAAATACAGCATCAAAGTGCTGCCTTGGCTTAGTCCTGAGGTTTTGCAGCAGGTGTGTTTAAGAGAAACTGCTTGTGTTTGTTGATGTGTTATATCTGTATAACTTTGTGAGCTCTTAGGGCAACTTGAGGGGGTGTAGGGGTAGGGACTGCAGGTTCTCTGAGAGCACCTGCAGAGTTGCTTTCTTGTGATGAACTCTAGTCCTTTTTTCTAGTCTTTTTGTCTTAAAACCAGTAACCCCTAGCAAGGGGAGGGGTACATGAATGCAAGGAGAAAGAAGGGGAGAAGCTAAAGGAAACAGATTTGGGGTGAATGCAGGGCAAGTGGGTAGAATTTGATCTAGTTGACTCAACAGTTTAAATGTAGACACCTCTACAGGTTGTCTCATTAACAAAGTGTTACATCAGGTGCAAGTTACCCAGGGCAGAGGCCATCCCTACATGCTGGCTGATTTCAGTTACATAAATGTTGCCCTTAACTGTGTGTTTTAACAAACCAAAAAACTCTCACCACAATAAACCAGTGTATCTGTGGCTTGTGCTGTTCCTGTTCTAATCACCTGGGTTTGTTGACTTGCAGTCAAAGTCATGGGAATTTAGCCATTCAATCACATATAAGTCCTGAAGCGAACTTTTCTTTTCCTTTTCATGTAGAATCTGCAGGGTTACGATGCAAAATCTGACATTTACAGCGTGGGGATAACAGCCTGTGAGCTGGCAAATGGACATGTCCCATTTAAAGACATGCCTTCTACTCAGGTAAGGTTTGCAAGCTCCTTTCTCATTCTTCATGTGGCACCTGGAACTGCTTTCCTGCTCTGGGATACAAGCACAGAAGGGTGTCCTGCCTGCATGAATGGGAAACCTGAACTGTGCTGTTGCTTGTGCCCTGCTCTTCCAGATGCTCTTGGAAAAGCTGAATGGAACTGTTCCCTGCCTGCTTGACACCACCACAATTCCTGCTGACGAGCTGACCATGAGGACGTCGCGCTCCAGCGCGAACTACGGCATGGGGGAGAGCACGGCCACGAGCAATGTGCGCGCGGCCAACGGAGAGCCAGCCCTGCACCCCTACCTCCGCACGTTCTCCACCTACTTCCACAACTTCGTGGAGCAGTGCCTCCAGAGGAACCCCGATTTCAGGTAAAGCCAGGTGAAAGCTGCTCTCCCGACCTGTGCTGTTCTAGGGCTGGTTAAACTCTGGGAATTAGCAGATACTGTTTACAGTTTTCTTTCCAAAAGTGTAGTGGAGTGAGGATGTGCCCCGCCTGTTGAGGAGAGCAGTGCAAGTGTGGAGAACAAGCAGCGTTAACACTTTGAGCACTTCCTGTGTGAGAGCCTGAGGAATTCCTTTGCAGCCTTCCTTGGAGGATGAGTGGTGCTGCACATCAGGAAAATAAACAACTTGTGTTTCTGGCACAGTTCCCATCACTGCAAATGGCTGCTCTTCAGCCAGCAGAGAGCAATGATGGGAAGTGATAAAAGCTGCATTTTTCTTTGTAGTGAGGGCAATCTGTAGCCATGACAGACTTTTCAGGGGTGCCCCACTGTTCAGGTACTGTCCTTGGCCAGATATAGGGGGTGCAAGTATGTAACTTAAAGGTTAGAAGAAGGAGGTTGGACTCCTTGCATAAAATATTACGTGATTGCTGAGAAATGGGAGAGGCAGGAAGGACCCTGATCTTTTCTTATTCCCACTACCTGACTTCAAGCACTGACTCATGTTCTTGTGTGCTTCTCTCATTCTACCTCCCTTCCACAGGCCAAGTGCAGGCACTCTGCTCAGTCACCCCTTTTTTAAGCAGGTAAGGAACTAATTTATCCAGAGGTAAAGCACAGTGCTTTGCTTTATCTTGCTGTGAGGGTGAGGATGTTGAGTTGATGAATTTTCTGTGATTGGGAAGATTAAGTCAGTTTTTTGACTACCTGTAGTGCAGTGTGGTGATCATCACATCAGGGGAGGTGCTTGGGCTGTTCTTGAAGCATCTCTTATCCAAGAGAGGTTTTAAATCTGCCTGTTCTGGGAGCCGCAACAGCTCATCCCCTGCAGGCTGCTGAGTTCTGGCCCGAGGCAGTTCTAACCTGCTCCTTAAGGAGACCAAAGGGTGCCCCGTGCCTTTCCTGCCTGTTGTTTCTGCCTGCAGTGCTGGGTGTGGAGCAGCACCTGAGCAGCCCCGTGTGCTCATTCTGTCCTTCCCGTGCAGATCAAGCGCCGTGCTTCCGAAGCACTCCCTGAACTTCTGCGCCCTGTCACCCCCATCACCAATCTGGAAGGGACACTGCCCCAGGATCCCAGTGGCATTTTTGGGTTGGTATCAAATCTGGAGCAGCTGGATGTGGATGACTGGGAATTCTAGAAAAACAGGGACTACACTGAGGAGGAGCTTTCTTCAATAAATTGTAATTTATTGGTCCTGTTCATAAAAGCTGATGAATGTTACACACAGAATAGTTTACAGGTCCTTGGGAAGGAACTTCAACTGCCTGTTTACTTAAGAAGTATCCTGGATACAAATGGACAGACCTGAGCTGGAAAAGGATCAACCCAAGGAGCTGTGGAGTATTCCAGAAGGTGCAGTGCCCAGAGCTCCCATTCTTCCAGCTGAACTCTGGTAGAGCACTCGAGGGTGCTGAATGAGTCTGTGTAGTTGTGGTCTCTATTAATGTTTCTAAAAATCACTGGCTTCCTCACAGTTGAGGCTGCATGTCCCTGCCCTCTTTGGTTCTTTCTCTTTTAAGGGTGCCTTAGAGTTGAGGGGAGGTGGGCAGCTTTTAGTTTTGGGCATTCTCTTAGAACTAGTTAAGTTCCTGTAACAGTATTGTCACAGGGCAAGTTTTAAGGGAATGGAAAAAAAGGGATTATATTCTTAGTTACTGCTTTGTGATGAAAAACAGGAGATCAAAGACAAGTTGATGCCATTCCAGGCACTCCTGCTGCACTGGGCATTCCTCTGCAGCACTGGATTTTTCCAGTCCAGAGAGGGCTTTTGAAGACTTCTCACTCAGTGCTGAGCACTCTGAACTCCAGGTTAGACAGGGCCTTCCAGCCTCCCCTTCCAGCTCCCTGGGTCACCAGAGCAGTGTGGATGCCTGCACAATGTACCAGCTTTTTTATCCCCTTCCAGTTGAACTCCATGTTAGCTGGGCTGGTTTCACAGCATGAAACACTCTTACCTACCTGTTCGCAGTGACTTATTTCTGGCACAGAGGAAAAGTAAATGGATTTTCATCATGATCCTCTTGCTCACAACTCCTGTACAGAATTGAACTTTAACCTTTCCATTACCATTGCTGTTCTGCCTTCCCTCACTGACAGGTAGAAGCTGCTCACGTGGCTCCGTGTGATTCATGGCTGTGTGGCTCTGCCCTGCTGCTGTGGCAGCTCTCCCCCATTCCGTGGTGTTTGGTTTATTTGGAGGTGTATTTAAGGCTTTTAGTTTGACTTGTTTTCCAAGGACCATGGTGCTGAAGGTCATCTGCTCTTTACTGAAGCACTGAGAATCTTTGTATAGGTGCAGTTGATGGGAATAGTGGTGCTGGCAACAGGTCCTTCTTGTGTTTATAAACTGTACTTGAACCCAGATAGTTTGTTACTCTAGTTTTATTCCAAAACAAATAAAATATTTCTGAAGTTGTTTTTTAAGTCTGCTATTTGTGCACGATGATGGAGTGAATCACAGAGGGTGACAGGCTGGCTGTGCATGCCTGCTTTTACCTTAGTTTCATACAGCTCACCAGTTTATGGCAGCTACCTTCATGCTTCAGAAACATACTTCAACTAAAGCAACAAGCTGCAAACACCTGCACTTGCTCTTTTTTAAAGTTTCAGTAAAATTCTCCCAGTTGCAGGAGTGTTTGTTAAGGCCAGGCCCAGTTCCACTTCCTCCCTATGCTCAGGGTTGGCTCCTGATTTAATCTCTTAGTAAGAAGATACTCATTCCCTGGCTTGTCATGAAATCTTACAAACAGGGCTGATTCAAAAGGCATGCAGCCCACTGAAGTTCTGTCCCTGTCTTGAGTTCTAGGAACCAAGACAGGAGGGAATAAATGCCCAGTAACTGCAATGCTCCAGCCTGCTTTCCCATGAATTACCATTTTTAGGGTGAAGGAAGAACTTAATGCAGGCTTGTATTTCTCATCCTTGCCCATGCCTCCAGTTTGCTCCATGCGCAAAGACTGAGGGCTTAAATAAACTTCGTTCCCTGCTGGCACAGCAGCAGGATCCGTGCACAGTTAGGAGCGAAACGGCAGCACCATAGTCAGAAGCAGCAATTCCAAAGTCACTGAACCTTCACCCTCCTTCCCCGGCTGCACTCAGGGGTTCTGGGGGTAGCAGATGGCTCACTCAGACCTTGAGTCTTGCCTGTCCTGCCTCGTGCCCCCACAGGGCAGCACAGACAGAGTCCAGCACAGCTGGGCATGGTTCAGTAGCTGCTGGTTGGATACAGAATCCCTGGCTACAGCTGGTAGCTTTTTTTCCTCCTACAAAAGCTTTATTCAGTTATGTACAAAATGTCTTCTGCTACTGTGGATCCTCTTCTTGGTCTGACCGTTGCTCCTCTTCTTCCTCCCCTTTGTGTTTTTCCAGTTTTGCCATAAGCTCTGAAAAACAGAACAGGCACAATGAGGCTCCAGGTGCAGGCCACCCCAGAGCCAGGGGCGCAGGTCTTGTTTACAGCAGGACCAGGCAGCCACCAAAAATCCCCTGCCTGCAGAGGCTCTGCTTAGAGCTCCCCGTTTGCCGAGTCCAGGCAGGAGCTACAGTCATTCCCTCAGTGCATTACTGACCACACAAGCTGCTGCCTCTGCTCCCAGGGCACAGGGCCCTTCCCTCTCCAGTTGCTCCCCAGATTCCCCACCTGGGCAAGCAGAGGTGCTCATGGTCATCTGTGATTCATTATTTCCTGACACTAACTGAGCTCTGAGCCAAGAACTGTGAACTGCAGCTCAGGGCCAGGCCCAGCACCAGGAAGCCCCACAGGAGCTGGTGCCTTTGCTGCCCAGCTGCTGCCCCAGAAGCCCCTCTCCCCAGGTGCCCGTTACCTTTTGCGGGGTTGAAGACCCCATTGGTCTGCTTGTCACAGACGTAGCAGCGCTGGGATTTGCGATAGTGCTGCAGGGCACAGCTCTCACAGAAGTAATGCCGACACCTGTACGGGGACACAGAGGTCATTGCAAGCCCCCAGACAGAGCCACTGTGTCCTGGAGTCAGAAACTACTGACTGCTGGTCACGGGAAGGTTGGGAATGACCTCCACGATCGAGTCCAACCTTTGACCAAACATCACCTTGTCACCCAAACCAGAGCACTGAGCGCCATGTCCAGTTGTTCCTTGTTCCCTAGGGATGGGGACTCTACCAGCTCCCTGGGCAGCCCTTTCCACTGCCTCACAGCTCTCTCCATGGTCCCCAAGGGAGGCAAAAGAGATGCAGGCACAGCTTCCTCTGCATCCCTGTCCTCATGGAAGGTGTTTCAGCATTGCTTCACTGATGTGCAGCGACAGCACAGAGCCACCAGTGAGCTCTTCCAGACACAGGACAGCATTCAGAGTGAGAAAGGGCTGTCCTCAGCCTCCTCGCCATCCTTGCCAAGCTCCTGGCTTCCCCACGCCCACATTTCTCTGCTCAGGCAGTGCAGCTGCCATTCAGTGTCCAGGAAAACAAAATCTCAAGGTTACGGGGGAAAGATGAGGCAATGAGGCAGCATTTGTGGAAATTAGTAAGTGCTTGAGATCCCTTCCGAGGGGATGCTGCAGATGCACCTATGAGACTCCCTGGCTCTCACAGGATTCCCCCCACCCACCAAAAAGCTAGGGCTGACAACAAGCAGGTTCCACACCCAGCCCGTGGGCTGGGGTTGTCTTTGCCTCAATAGTGGATAAATGACTCGTGAGCTGCATCCACAGCACACGTCCTGCTCATGCCAAACAACCACTTACTTGGTGACCACGGGGTTCTTGAAGGAACCTCTGCAGATGAAGCACTTGAAAGGCATGTCCTCTTCATCACTGCTCACCTCGTAGTTTTCGTCGTCTGCAGAAGAGAAAGTAAACCAGAGTGGAGTGAGAGGACAGGCCAGCCCAGCTCACATGTGGGGCACAAAATAACAAATAAGGGGAGAGCACAGCAGGTGGGATTCAATCTCTGCTGGAAACAATGGAGCTCTGGCATCTGGGTGTTGCTGATGCCAGTAACACGTGTGGGACTGTGCTATAATTAGGGCTAATGAGCCAAGCAAGGCCTGTTGCTCGTCTCAGGAGAAAATTCTTTTCTACTTCACCCACTCACTGCTATAAAGAGAAACATCCTCCAGCTCTCTCCTGTTTTTTAGACTTTCTTCCAAACCCGCTGCCACCAAGTTCTGGCTCCAGCTGAGCAGAGACTAGCCCCCATTTGCACAGCAGCGCTCATGAGCCCTGGGCCACAGCCCCGGACACGAGTGACAAATGCCATCCCACCTCCTGGGCATCAGGGGGACAGACGGTCCTGTCTCCCCAGCCCCACACAGCTCGCTGCTGGGACCCACACGGCAGTGCTCTCCTCCACAGAGAGCCAGGGGTTACGTGAAAGCAGCAGCTCTGCTCAGCACTGCCAGTGGCTCCTGGCCCACAGCTCGTCCTGCAGCAGGAGTTGCACAGAACTCTGAACACAGCCCTGTGAGGGCACAGGCCGTACCGTTGACGCCGTAGCGGCCCTCGTCCAACTCCCGTTCGATCTGCCAGCCGTGCTTGTAGTCTGAGCGGTCATGCAGGAACTTGCAGCTGTCTGAGCAGCACAAAGAAAGAGGAAATAAGAGACAGCCTGCAAGGGCAGAGTGTTACCAGGACACCTAATTCCAGGGCAGCCTGAGCTTTGCCCAGCAGGAGAAATCTAACTGCTCCTTCTCCAGGGCAGCACTAAGCTTCTTGAGCAGGTACAGGATCCCTCAGTGCTGACAGGCTGTGAGCATCATCCTCCCTGTGCCACAGGGACAGTTCCAGCAGTTATGCACATGGGACATGGGACAAAGAACAGGAAAACCCATCCCTCACATGGTCTCGGTGCACACAATATCTGTAAGAATATGGGTCACTGGAACATCCCAGGGGTCCCTTCCAGGACTCCTATAACCACTAATTAGAGGCCCTGGGATTTCAGAAGGGATGGCACGAATGACAACCGTACATAAACAGCTCTGCACAGAAGGGTCTGTGACTCAGCACCCCAAACACGGGGTCACAGCTGGACTAGATGCCTTGGCATGCCTGGTGCTCACCCCCGAAGCCGCAGAACCCCGTCTCCTTGTAGTCCTTGCAGATGTCGGGCTGGTAGTCCCAGCGCACCGTGGCCCGCAGGTGCTCCGGAGCTCGGATCGGGCCTTTCCTGAAAGGGGGGCAGAGGCTCAGCCCGGCTGGCCAGAACCACCCACCACACTGGTCAGGCAGAAACTGGCAGTGACAGCAGAGCTCCAGCCCCAGACACTGCCTTTGGGATGGTGTGTGAGCTCCTCTGCAGTCACAGACCCCGAGGCTCATCCCAACCCACCTCACCATTCCTGAGGAGGCATTTCCCATCGATGTGTCCTTGGGCTTCACGTACTTCTGGTAGTTGTTAATGCCACGGTAAATTTTATCGTCTTCCTTTCCTCTCAGCTCCTAGGAAAGCAAGAAGAGATGATTAAGGATCAGGAGAGCTTCATAACATGAATTAACTGCCACCACTCTGACCTTAACACCAATAAAGCCACAAAACTCCCCTATTTGCACAGGTTGTACTCCTGGCTCCTTGAACTTCTAGGGAAGATGAGACTCTAACCCTTCTTGGTGTGCAGAAGGGGATGAGCAAAGCACAGGCTCTCCTGCTGCAGAGCAGAGTTCCTGAGAAGCAAGGCTGACTCACCTCCTGGATCTTCTGGCTGCGCTCAAAGATGGCCTGGGCATCCTTCTCCTTCTCTGTGTCCAGTTCGTACACTGCTGTGGCTCCCATGTCTTCTGGGCCAACAGGTTTCTGAAAAGCAAGGAAAACTTGTGGCAAGAGTGGAGGGAACACCTGGATAAGACAGAGAGCTCCTGTCTGCCTGAAGATTGTCACAGAGCAAGAACTGGACACATTCGCTCGGGAGAAGTCACTAGAGGCTCCAGCCTAGTGTGTGCAGAGGCCAGAGTGCTAATTCCTCATTGCTCCCAAATTTCAGCCTGCAGTCAGGGAACACTTGTTTAACTCCTTCACACTTAGCCCCAGCTCAGCTGGAAGCCCCACTCAGTTCAGCCATGTCACCCAGTTCAGGTGGGTGTCATTTTAGTCACAGGACCCTCTTGCCCACACACAGGATGTTACTGAGCTTCTGACCCAGCTGGGGATGGCCAAAATTCACTTTCAACAGAGTGATCTGGTTTAGATTCCTCTTTAATGGCCTGAACAGATACCTATTCCTAGCTTTTATCACATCTTTGACAACAGCTGCACAGAAACCAGAGAATAATTACAGCCAGCCTCAATTAGATACAAATCCAACTTAGGTGCCAAAAGCTTGCAGAGTGCCAAAGCTGTCACCTCCTCCCATCCCTTTCCATTCTCTGCAGAAGGTTGGGCAAACCAAACACTGCCTCCCTTGGGAGCAGCCAAAGATGGCCTAACACCGAAAACACAAACCCAACAGTTGAGCCAAACTGACCCAACCGCTTCCTCTCCTGAAAAATCTATGCAGTGTTGGGCAAGTCCAGTGGCATCCTGGGGTTTTAACTCTCACCTCTAAAAGGGAAAGGCCAACCTTTGAGGGCCTCCTGTGGAAGGAGGGACTGTCAGAGTAAACCCAGCACAAGGTGCTTGGCTGTTAAGCGGTGACAGGGAGTTGCATTAATAGGAAAGAATGTCCAATCCCACGTTTAGAGTGGCAGATTCTGTCTCTGAGGAGTGGGATCCCCAGCCCCACGTGAGGTGACAGCCCAGGTCCCCTGCTGCCTGTCCTTACCGCCGACCTGGTGGATTTGTAGGTGACCCCGATCTCCTTGGCAGGATCCTCATCCTCGCTGCTGCTCGGCGCGTATTCCGGCCTCTCCCTTGTGCAGCGCCTGGTCTGGGGGCACAGCAGGGATGGGGGAGGAAAGGCTACAGCGCTGTCCCGTCACGGCTGAGCCTGGCAGGCCCCGCAGGCCCCCTGGACGGAGCAGGTACTCCCTGGAGCTCCCTTACCTTCTGGATCATGGGGTTGGGGGTGTCCCGCCGCCGCTCCTTGCGCACCACGGTGCTGCCCTCCTCCCCGCTGCTCTCTGCGGGGAGAGCCCGAGTGAGGGCACGGCCCCGGCCTGAGGCAGCCCCTGCCCCGGCCTGAGGCAGCCCCTGCCCCAGCGGGCCCAGCAGTCCCGCCCTGGGAGCGCTGCCCAAAGGCTCCGGAGCCCGGGCAGCCTTGGGGCCGGGCCGTTCCCTGGGAGCCCGGGCAGTGTCCGCCCACCTTCCAGGGGAAGAGCCTTCTCCTAATACCCAGCCTAGCTCCGCTGTGGCACACCCGCAGGGCTCCCTCACGCCCTCGGCCGCACACCCACGGGCTGGGGAGGGCGGCCAAGCCCGGCCCGGGCAGCGCTGGGGCGGCACCAGGCCCTCCCTCGCCTGCACCGCACCGGCTCCCCACGCCGCCCGGGTCCCCCCGGCCCGCACCCCGCTCCTGGTCGCTGGCGGGCCGTTTCCGCCGGCCGCTGCCCGCGGCCCGGACCCGCTTCTTGAACACAAAGCTACAGACGCCGCTCTCCTCCGCCATGCTGTGCCGCCGAGACCGCGGCGCTGGGTAGAGCGGCGCCGGCGCGGGCAGCGCGGGCAGCGCCCCCTGCGGGCGCGGAGGACTCAGCGCCCCCGGCGGGCCCGGGCTGCTCCTCCGTCCTGCCGGAGCCAAACAAGAATATTTGTTCTATGATCACCATTTTCAAAGATATTCCCAACAGTCCATGGTATATTTCCCTCCATTTATGGCTCATTGGAGGGCTTTGAGAGCTTAAGGTAAAGTCCTCAGAGCTACAGGTTATTGCTGTCTCCCTCCTGACCCGTGGCCATTTTGGCTGGCGTGAAACCACCTCCAGCTTTTAACTATTAATATTTATGTTTATTTCTGATGTTTTACCCTCCTCCTGGGGAAATCCCAGCCCTCCAAACACGATGGGAAGCTGCCTTTACAGTCCAGGTAGGGCTTTTGCTTGGGCCACGGGACGCTGCTCCGGCAGATCCACCAGTCACCTTGCACAGCTCGCTCCCACGCTCGGCTCATCAGCTCTCCACGGAGTAAACCCTGGATTTATGAAACCATCACTGAGCAGTTTTGCCCCTCTGGAGGGTAAAGAGTGGGAAGCACTGGAATCCTCCTTTCCTGCTGCTGCCTGATGCAAACCTTCCCATGCAAGCAGTGAGTTGAGGTGTGGGAAATGTGGCTTTTGCAGACATTGGAGGGATGGATCCCTTGGGATGCTACAGGATCCCTCACCGGGGTGGGTGAGTGCCACGCGGAGAGAGCCCAAGGCCGTGTCCAAAGCTTGGAGCGAAGCCAATCTGCACACGCAGCTCCTGGGAGAGGCTGGAACAGCTAATTACCGGGGGGCTAATTGCACCCGGTGCCAGAAAGCGGAAGGGTCGCTGCCGGGGGCCGGGGAGGCTGCGGGCGAGCAGGCAGAGAGAGCCGGGAGCCGAGGGAGCGGGGAAGGCTCGGGGCTAGGGGCTGGCTGCACACAAAGAAGCGAGCGGCTGGAAGCCGGCTCGACGCCGGGAGCCAATCGCTGCCGCGGCCCCGCGATAAAAGGGCTCGGAGCCGGCGGGGGAGCGCAGGAAGCGGCTCCGCTGCACGGCTGAGGCCTCTGCGGCGGGACACGGGCACGGCACGGCACGGCACGGCACGGCCCCGCCTGCCTGCGGACCCTCCTGCTCGGCGGTGAGCTCCGTCGGGGGCGGCGGGAGGCGGCTGCGAGACAATGCCGGCCCCGAGCGCGGCGTGAGCGGCTCGTCCGCACCTACAGCGGGGCTGCCGAGCTGCCGGGCGGGGATGGAGGGGAGCGGGGATGGAGGGGAGCGGGGATGGAGGGGAGCGAGGAAGGCGCGGGGAGAGCCCCGGGGAGCGGGGATGGAGAAGAGCAGGGATGGGGAGCAGCGAGGAAGGCGCGGGGAGAGCCCCGGGGAGCGGGGATGGAGGGGAGCAGGGATGGAGAGCAGCGAGGAAGGCGCGGGGAGAGCCCCGGGGGGGAGCGGCTGCGCTGCCCCGGGGCCGCCCCGCACCCGGGGCTCGGCCCCGGCCCCTCAGCACCGGAGCCGCTCGGTCTCGGGAGGAGGTTTGGGGTCCCGGGGGCTGCGGCCGGGGCAGGGAGCGGAGCCCGGGGCCGGTAGCCGGTGGGGCTCGCGGGCCCGTGCTGGCTGGGTCTGCTCGGGGTCCGTGTTTGGGGGCGCTTTTGGGGGCTCTCGCTCCCGTTTGGGCTGGAGCTCCCTCTTTGTTGTGTGCTGCAGTCCGTGCCGGAGGGCGGCTGGACACATCTGTTCTGAGCCGAGATGGAAGGAAAAACCTGTTAGGTCCCGGCTCCCTCATCCTCCGGCGTTAATGCCTGCCCGTTCCCGACGTCTCCTGCCGCATTTAAACCTCTCCAGCGACAGGTCTTTTATCACTTCCCTGGGGAGGCTGTTGCATGGCTGTGAGGTTTATTAACAACACAAATGCCCTGGGCTCTGACATAACCCTCAACAGCCAGGGATCTCTCAGGGCTTCACAAAGGAGAGTAGCTCTGTTTCCATCGAGGGGAGGGGGGAAAAAAGGGAACAGAAAAAATGAAATTATTTATCCCCTGCCATCCAAAATTAGCAGCGGATTTAGGAATCAAGCCTAGGTCTCCCAGTCTGGTGCTGTAACTACTGTGTTTTGAGCCAGCCTGATCTGTCTAATCTCCTTGGATCACTTCAAACAAGCTAAGATACTTGTAGATCATATTTATGATCAATTTTCTGCTGTTTTTTTTCATGGTGTGGGTATCAGTTTTGGAAAAAAGCTGATAATCCAGCCTTGAAAATTGGGCTTTGTCCACCAAAGACGTCGTGTGAGGGCTCTCACAGGGAAGACATCTGGTGCCTCAGCTGAGCTGTCGTGTGTTTAAGGCCAGGAGTCTGCAGCATTATTAATGTAGATTGCAAAATAATTGCAGGGCAAATGACCAAGCTTAGTCTGAAACAGCCCCAGTGTTAGTGTCCTTTTTAAATGGGAGTCCTCCAAGAAGCAAATTCCCAGTTCCAAGCTGAGGGCATGTCAGAAACAACCTCTTGGGGCTTTGCAAAGTGCTTGGATGCATCTTCATTCTCATACAGCTTAAAACCAGGTTCCTGACCTTTTTTTGGTCAGCAAAAACCCCAGGAGACTTCTCATTAGGGAGGGGAATTCCTCTTCTATTTTCCTTCAGTGGGTAACTCCTGGGAGTATTCAACTACCCTCTGGTCCTGGAGGGTGAGGAAGTTTTTATTTTCCTTTTCTCCCACCCTCAGGTCCTGCAGGGTTTTGCCAGGCAGCTGCTATGTCCCCCCAAGACATGTCTGCTTCTCCCTCCCAGTTAAGTCATTTTTATCTGCCATCTGGGGCTGTTGCAGTGCTTACCTCGCTCTTAGCAAAAGCCCTGGGATGGAAAACATTAAATCTGGACAAAAGGATCATTGCAGTATCAATGTTAAGCACACTTTAGACATATTTCTCACTCCTGTGGTGTGCCCATAACCCTCTCCATATGTCCAGCTTGGGGTTTTCAGTGGCAAGATGCCTCAGCATCCTCTGATGTGCCTCTCCAGGGATTACTTTTCCCAGCACACTCATTGCTCCACTGCAATCTTGTGGATTTCAGGGAACCAAATCCTGTGCTGGGCTCTACGGCACCTTGGATCCTAAAAGGAAGGGTAGAGATAAAGGCTGAAAATAGCTGGAGCAGCTCAAAAAGAATGATATTTGAAGAGATTTAACTACCAATATGATTTTGGTCGTGTTTTCTTCTTATACAATCTACATTTGGACAGCAAAGAGCAGCTTTTGTAGGGCTTGTGTGGAGGCAGGGACCATGGAAAGGGGCTGTGCTGTGTTTTGGAGTGCCTGGAGCTGGACCCACTCCTGCTCTTGCTACATCTGCAGGTAATGAAACACTAAAAGATTTTTGTGGGGTCTCTCGGGGCCCAAGAGATGGGCTCACCCCATGGAATCAGAGAATCCTTCAGGTTGGAAAAGTTCTCCAAGATGATATTGTCCAACCATTCCCACAGCACTGCCAAGGCCACTGGTAAACCGTGTCCCCAAATGCCACCTCCCTAGGGCACTCCAGCACAGGAAATGCCAGCCCAGAGTCGGGGAGCAACAGGTGATATTCCACAAGAGGAAACCAGCCGAGGTAACTCTGAGAGGTTGTGTTGGAGGAAGGAGGAAATTACAGGCAATTACAGGTCCGTTAATTGGAGTACAAGGAAAGGTTGGGTTCTAGAACAGGTTCTGGAAGAGTAATCAGAGACGTGCTGTTGGGAAGCAGAATGAAATGCTGGGTGGTTCTAGCACAGATCATGTCAGGCTGGCTCAGTGCCTTCCTTGGCTATGATAAATGACTTCTGAAACAACAGGGCCTCATGACAGAGCCCCAAGGAAATGATTATTTTAGGTGGAGACAGGAAAAAGGACAGAGAAAAGAGAGCAAATGGAAGGAAGATACCTGGATTCTTCTGCAGGGCGGGCGGGGGGGGGGGGGTTGTAAGGACACATCAGGCCAGAGGTTTTCAGGGGTGCTGGAGTTTTGTGTCAGTTCCAAGGTCTGAGATCTCCCAGGTGTGGAGCTGCCAGACCAGCTCACCTGTTTGCATCAGGGCCCCACGGTGGCTATGGCAACAGAAAGCCCACCAGCTGAGAACAGGTTAAAAGGAATCTGCTTCTCCTGAACGTGGTTACTCTTTAGGAATCCCCCTGAGAGGCAGACATATGATGGGAGAAGAACTAATGTCTAATGGTAAATGGCTGTACATTTGAGTAGGGAACCAGGAGGTGATGTTTCCAGGTGGAGTGTGGTTTATGGAAGAGATTAGGGAAGAGCTGATGAGGGCAGGGAGGCCATGAGCTTCTGTTTGCCTGTTGTGCTTGTTTGCAGCAGGTTGATATTGCACCTCATTAGTCCCTTCTGTAGGGCTTCCAGAGTTTCTCCCAGTGAAGCACTTCTGTCTAACGTCCAGCCTGAACCTCTCAACCTGCAATTTTTGTCTGGCACTACTGAGAATTTGTCTCTGATTGGAAAAGCCTCTTCTCATCCTTGTGGCAGGATTTCTGCTGTGCTTCTCTGCTCTATCAGCTCCCAGCAAGAGAGGAGATCCCAGCAAGCAGAGACTCCCTTCAGATCATGATTTTTAATGGATGCCTTTAAACACAGCCACAATCCCAGAATAGGCTGCCTCAGTTTCTGCTTCTGGAAAGCAGGGGAATCCCAGTAGCATCCTTCTGGCCTGTGGGCCCCTCACTGAGAGGCAGGGCAGGGACCAGCCCAGTCCCTTGGCCCTGGTGCTTCCAGAGCTGTGCACTTCTCCTCAGGGGAGGCAGGGATGAAAGTGGCAGAGGGGAGCGGGTGGGCAGGGGCTTCCCTTGGGCTCCCCCTCACTCCTGTGGGTCCCCCATTGTTGCCCTGACAAAGGCAGCCCTGTTCCTCCCCACAGCTATTCCTTGTCAGCATCCCTCAGCATTTTGGCTGCAGATTTCCTGCCCGCTGGCAGGTTTTCAAGAGGCAGGACGTGGATGGAAAGGGGATTAGTGGAGCAGGCTGGTGGAAGGTGGCTCCTGGCCGTGGGGTGAGGCAGGGTCAGGCTCTCTCACCAGCAGGATAGGGCTGTCCCCAGAAATGTCTGGATTCTCCTCCCTGAAGTCCTCCACCCTGTGCCAAGCCAGCAGGGCACTGCCCTGAGTCCCCAGTGCCAGTGAGGCCAAGTGGCTGGCTCAGAGCCATGCAAGAGCCAAGACCTGAAGCAGAATTAAGGGATTCCATGCCTAAAGCAGGAGCTGTGGCCACTGGGCTCGCTCCATCATCCCTTCCCTGGCGCTGCTGTGCCTGGCTCTGGCCTGGCCTGCTTGATGCTGGTTGTGCACCACGCTTGGTTTCATGGTGAGGGTGAACTGTGAGAGCCAAGATTGCAGAAACTGAGCCTTGGGACCTGGGTGAGTCCCAGGCTCGGGAGACAGGCTCTTCCAGCTCCTGTTCTCCTCTTCCCCACACTGGCCAGCTGAGGGGGGTGATGGCCATGCAGCTGGAGGCCCAGCCCTGCCTGTGTGTGGGTTTCTCTGATCCTGCACAGGATCTTGTGGATATCCATCCCCACAGTCACCAGCTCAGCCCAGATTTCCTGGGGGAAAGGCCTGACAGCCTCCCCGAGGTGCCTCCCCTGCCCGTGCCTCACCGTGCTCCGGGGACACTCCAGTCCCTCCGAGGATGGAGGAGGAAGATGGAGGAGGAAGGGGGCCTGGCTTTTGGGAAAGCCTCCTGCAATGGAGCAGTGATCCCTGCAGTAAACAAACCCTTCCAGGGCTGCTAATGGGAACCATCTGGAGAGAGGGGCCCCTGGCCCTCCAGCCCCTGCTCCTTCCCTGCCGGAAATCCACCGGGCTGGGTCGGACTGGGGCGGCCCTGGTGGCCCCTCCGGAGAGGGGAAGGGGGAAAGGCTCCCTGCACCCCTCCTGGCTGCAGGAAACCTGATCCTTCAGAGGCAGGCTGAGCTCAGGGGACTGCCTTGGCCATCCCAGATGTTCCCTCTCCCTCTATCTGCCCCAGGGTCAGGCAGGAAGGTGGGAGGGGGTGCAGGAGGCTCTTAGGGAAAAGCTCTGTGATGGAGCAGTGTTGCCTTCCTCCCCTCAAACTCCTCCCCTGCTTCGAGCCATCAGTGGCTACAAGGGGCAGGACGAAGCGATGCTGGAAGGCAAAGGGGCTCTCACCTTGTCCTGAGCCAAAAACCTGAAACTGCTGGCATAACCTGGAGAGGAGGACAGTGCTCACTCCTGCTCCTCCCAGGCTGTGGAGTGGCTGAGGACTTGAGGGACCGGAGGTTCAGAGCAGTCAGTTCTGGCAGCTATGGTGCCGGTCTCTGCTGTGGGGCAGGGCCTTGGCTGCTGGCTTTGTCACACAGCCCTCAGAGGCAGGAGCCCCGAGCCCTTCTGAAGGCTTTGTGACATCGGTGTGGCAGCGTGTCCTCAGGCACTGCTCCTGGAGCTGCTGGTGGCTGCCCAGTCCCAGCCTGTGCTCCTGGGCAGTGACAGTGGCCGAGAGCCCTCAGGAATCCCTCCTGCACTTTCTCGCTTGGTCTGGTTCCCTTATCGCCTCAGCACGAGATTTCTGCAGCAGGAAGGAGGTTTAACAGCTCCTGAGCCAGGGGCTCACGGGAAATGCTGCCAGGAGAGAGGGGCTGGGTGAGAAACATCCCACCATGGGCTGGGACAATGGGGGAATTGATGGGAAAGGGCCTTGGCGGCCTGAGGAGCAAAGAAACAAATAGTGGGTGGAAATAAAAATGGGCTATCAGAGAATGGTCCCTGACTGGTTTGGGTTGAAGAGACCTCAAGGATCATCTGGTTCCACCGCCCTGCCCTGTGCAGGGACTCCTTCCACCGGAGCAGCTTCTGGTGGAGCGTGTGGAAACACCGAGAGCAGGAAGGGGCTGGGGCTGGGCAGAAAGATGAGCTGCAAGGGAAGCTGTGGCAGGACAAATACGTGTAGCAAAGGCTGGGGTGAAGTGGAAAGGGGGAGGGTTGTGGGTCTGTGTTAGAGGTGTGTGTGCAGTGGGGACAGCGGGTTTTCTGTGTCCCCTGCAGGGTCTGTGCGGGGCTGTCGGACCCCGCAGACCCCAGAGGCACCAAGAGAAGGTCCCAGGGAATGGGGCAGGAGGGCTGGGGGGTGCTCTGCCCCCAGCAGATGGGTTCAGCAGCAGCTGCCTGCGAGGGGAGCAGGAAATAACAACCAAACCGCAGAGAGACGGGAAACGATTTTGATAGAGCAGGGCTGGGCCTCAGCTGAGCTGTGAAATGTTTGCAACCAGGGCTGTGCAGCCCCAGGGCCGTGAGGGGCAGCTGCCAAGGGCCCAGGACCTGGGGAAAAGGTCTTTTAACTCTGAAAGCAGCCATCAATTTCAGGGGCTTTGCTGGATGTAACTCAAACCTGCTGTCAGCTGCTGGGGGTTTGGCAGCCAAAGAGCCCCCTAAAACTCAGGGCATGTTTGCAAATGTCCCTGTGAGGTGGGCATTGAGGAGATGCCCCTGCCCCAAGCCCTCCACCCTGACAGGTCTCTGCCCTGGGGCTTTCTCAGTGTCTAGCCCAGTCCTTGGGCAGCAGGAAGGTTGTTGGGGTGGCAATATGAGGCCAAGGGGGTTCAGTAGGACAGGAAAGCAGCCCCAGGCAGAGGCAGGTGCTGGTTTTCCAGCCTCCAGCTCATCCCCATCATTGCAGAGCCACCCCTTCACCCTCCTTTTCGCTGCTCTGCTCCTCCCTTGGCCATGTTCACTCGACCCCACGCTCTGTCCTCTGTATTCAAACCAGGGCTCATTTTTCATGGGTGTTTTGAAGGTAAAATTCGGTGGGGAAAACCCCCTGAGGAGCTGTCAGTGCCTTTTTAGCTCTTTTTTACCGAAAGAGGTGGTTTGCAATGCTGGTGTTTCTTCCTGTGTGGGTCTCAGCCCTGTCAGCCTCATCCTCCAGGCACTGAGCACCTCACATGGGGCTCAGCCTAAAGGCGATGTGGGCTCCGTGAGAAAACAAAATCCCCATCACTTGCTCTGCTGAGCTGTGATCAGCGAGATTTTTCTGGGCTAAAATTAGACTAAAACCAGAGTCCTTCCTCCAGCAACACCAGTCCTTTCGTGGCTGCATTAGTGAAACACGGGGTGCTGGTTTTGCTGCCCTGGGTTGGGGTCAGCCTTGCTGCCAGTGGCGTGGTCATTGCCTGGCAGGTGCATGGTGTGGGTTTGGAGTAGAGACCATCACAGCACCTTCCAGGTGCTCAGAGCCCCAAACCCTCCAGCTGCCATCACAGTGTTCCAGACCTGCATCTCCTGTCCAGCTCCTGTGCCTCAGTCTCTGGGCTCCCCAGCCCAGGGGGCTGCTCAGACCCGGCAGGAGCTTCGAGCCCACACCAGCTCCTGCAGAGCTGTTGTCCTGGTGATGAAACCAGCCTGATGACATTTCCTTTCCAGGTGCTGCAAGAGGTCTGTCTTCGACACTTCTGCAGCAGCATCGACCCACAGCCTTGGAGCTCAGGATTAAACAGACAGAGAGGGGAAAGGAGCCATGTTCCAGGCCACGGGAGCCACCAGCCCAGCCCCAGCTCATGTATGTGGTCTCTTGGGGTTTGTGTGGGAATTTCGGCTGGGTTTGGGTTCTCAGGGGGAGGGTTCTCTACAGACATTTTAGGGTGATCAAAGGCACAGTCACAGCTACTCAGACAACAGAACTGGGGACAGGAATGTTCCAGCAGAAGGTGCTGTTTGCTGAGCATGCTGGACGCCAGCCTCAGGCTCTGCTCCATCCAGAGCTCTCGCCCCGCGCTGTCTCGAGCTGCTGTCTGTTTGTTTGTGTTTCCATGGCTTTCCCCGATCACAATTGAGAGCTTTCGAGCTGCTTAGGGCTGGAGTGATTTGAGATGGAAAAACATAAAGGTTCAAGAACATCTCCTGCTGGGACAGGATACGGCCCTTCCCCAGGGAAGATCTATCAGATATGGAACGGAGAGCGAGGCTGCCGAGAAGTGACAGCAGCCATGGATGGCTGTAGCCTTGGGAACGGATGTAGCAGCTCCGAGAGGCAGACTTTCCTCAGCTCTGGTCAGCTGAGCCTGGAAACAGCATATTAAATCCTAACCCCGGGAGAGCACCTGCGGTTGCTCTCCCAGTGCCAAGGGATGCAACTGGTTTTACACGACCGGAGCCTCCTCGCTGCCCACGTCCCTCTGTTGACTTTGGCTCCTGCCTCCAGCCTCGTGGGACTGAGGAAAGCCACGTCCCTGACCTCAGCCAGTGAGAGCAGCTGGGAAACCTCTGAGGAGGCAGCTCGGCGAGGGGAGAGCTTCCTGTGCGTCCCTTACACAAACTGTTTCCAAAAATACAAAGGAGAAAGGATGGGGAAGGACAATGCAGGAGGAACGGGCCGGGGGTGAGGATCAGCCTGGTGGCAGAGAGGGGCAGTGCTGGGCAGGCAGAGCCAAACTGCAGCCAGAGGAAGGACAAGGACAGCAGGGGGACATCCTGGGGGGATGTCCCGGGGACCGACTGGGGATGAACCAGCCCTGACTGGTCACCTGGCTGGAGTGCCATTGCCCCTTGGATCCCGACTTTGGGAAGGAAGGAGCGCTTCCATCAGTGCCAAGACGGGTGAAACTCCTGGGGTGGCTGCCAGGGACCCAACTGGTGCCCGTGCAGTTGCCCTGGGGATGTGCACTGGTGAGGGTGGATTTGGAAGGGATGAGCTACTGCAGCTGCAGATGGGACATGGTGCAGAGAGACCCTGCCCTGGAACCTGGGGCACAGGTAGATGCTGCTCACCAGGCTCTGCAGGGCTGAGCAGCACCTGCCCCTGAGCTGGGAGAGCTCTGCCCGTGCCCTGCTGCCCCTGTGCCCTCCCCACACCCCTTTGTTTCCTGCACAGCCCCAGCTGAGGGGCTGACACAGGGCAGAGGAACTGGAAACAAAACCTCTGCCTCAAGAGGCTCCAGGACGGCGAGGGGCACCCAGCTATGGCTGGGGGAATGGGCCACTGCCCCCTGAGCCCCGGGCAAGCACCCGTGGGGCAGCATTGTCCGAGCCCTGTGCTCCTCCAGCAAGAGGAGTTAATTGCCCTGCTCCAAGAGGCAGGGCAGCATCTCGGAGCAGATGTGCATGAGCCACAGGTGGTGGTTTGCAGGTGCAGGTCACCGAGGCGTTTTGCCAGGGTCTTGTGCCAAGCTCTCATTTTGCTTTCTCCTTTCCTTTTTAGGAGGCCAAAACCAGCTCAGGAGGCAGCACAGTGCAGCGCTCCAAGGTACCTTTGCTTTTTCTACACCACAGAATCATCCCAGAATGGCCTGGGGTGGCAGGGACCTCAGAGCCCATCCATTCCCACCCCTGCCATGGCAGGGACACCTTCCACTGTCCCAGGCTGCTCCCAGCCTGGCCTGGGACTCTTCCAGGGATCCAGGGGCAGCCACAGCTGCTCTGTGCCAGGGCCTCATCCTGCTGATTCTTGGCAAGGGTGGAAGGGCCAAAAATCCATAGACCAAGCTCCAGTTCAGCCCAGCACCAGTGGAGTGTCCCAGGGAGGGTGAGGGATGTGGGGCTGCTTCCTGCTCCCCAGTGCTCTGGTGAATGGAGGGCAGGGAAGAGGGCAGTGGAGGTATGTAGGTTGTCCCAAACTCCTTCCTCATCCTCTGTCTCCCTTTGCTCTGCCCTTGGCCAGTCCTTCAGCCTGAAGGCGCAGGTGAAGGAGATGTGCACTGCCTGCCAGAAAACTGTGTATCCCATGGAACGGCTGGTGGCTGATAAATTCGTCTTCCACAACTTCTGCTTCTGCTGCAAGCACTGCCACACCAAGCTCAGGTGAGCAGGGCTGTGCCCGTGGTGGGACAGGTGCCAAGACCCTCCCAAATAGTGCCCCCCCAATCACAGCCCCTCGCTCGGCCAGTAGCCAAAGACCCCAGCCCACCCATTGCAGCAGAACAAAGGTTTATCTGCACACCTGAGCCCAAGTCACAGCTAAATCCTACCTGGTGTGGCAGGAGAGAGGCTTCCCCTTGAGAGCAGCCCCGGGGGAACACGGAGCTGAGCCAGAGCCTCCTGGAGGACTCAGAGCAGAGGCTGAGCCCCCTGGGACCCCCCCCATCTCTACTGACAGCAGCCCCCAACAGCCTCTGCTGGTGGGAGGGAGCTGTTGTCCCTAAGGGTCCCTTCCTGCCTGCTCCCCCTCTGCTGTCCCTGTGTCCCCAGTCCCCTGCCCGGCTAACCCTGCCTGGCTAACCCTGCCCTTCCTCCCCAGCCTGGGCAGCTACGCCGCGCTCCATGGGGAATTCTACTGCAAGCCCCACTTCCAGCAGCTCTTCAAGAGTAAAGGCAACTATGACGAAGGCTTCGGGCGCAAGCAGCACAAGGAGCTGTGGGTGCACAAGGAGGTGGAGAGCGGCACCAAGTCAGCGTGAGCGGGGCCAGTCCCGCTCCGGAGCCCGCGGAGCCAGAGGAGCTGAGCCGGGCTGACTGAGCTGATGTAGAGCAGGACCTGGGGCAGGGCAGAGGGGGAGCCCCTCTTTGGAGGGTGCTCAGGGGGGTCCTGCAGGCCCTAAGGACAGGGCAGAGGTGACCAGGGTGCAGCCCCCAGACCTGGAGCCCTCTCTCTCTGCAGGCCCTTCTCCCCAGTGAGACCAGAGCAGAAGCAATTGCCCCCATGGGACCCCCAGCCCTGTTGATCCATTTCGGGCCTGTCACCATGGAAAAGGGATGAGCTGGGGGCTCATCCAGCTTGTGAGCCACTGCAGAGATCCCAGCTCCACCACACCAGCCCTGCTGGGGCTCTGGATAAGGAGGGTCCTTGGTTTACATCAGCTCAGTTCAGCTGGGATGGTTCAGCCTTAAGGATGTTGCCCTGCCACGGTTTAAGTGTCTGTTTTTTATATTTGCCTTCCATTGGTACGTTCTGCGCTGGAGCCTGCGGCAGCTTCACCTGCGCGCCTTTATTTTTGTAATACAAGGTTTCCCAGCCTTCCCTGTCTTGTCCCGTGTTCCCAAGGGCCTGGGGAGGTGGGACTAGTGCTCAGGTCTGCCTCTTACTGCCCAGGCAGCGTGGAAAGAACTTCTGTCCATCCAGGACCAAGGAAGTACTCCTGGATACCTGGGAGGGAAGGGCGTGAGGGAAGGGAAAGAGACAGCCCTCCCTTCTTTGGGGGGTGCTGAGAGGGGTCCTGCACACCATGAGGACTAGGCAGAGGTGACCAGGATGCAGGCCCCTGACCAGAAGCCCCCCTGGAGCCCCCAAGTTTTGGGAAACAAACCAGGATTTCAAATTCCTCATCAGCATTGCCCTGTGAGCTGCACAGCACAGCTGGAACCTTCCACCAGCTTCCAAATGGAGCCCAGACTGCCCTCAAAAGGCATTCACCAGCCTGGGGACCCCCCAGGACTAGGCCCACCCTTTGCCCTGCGTCACACTCTCCCCTCCCCATCAGTGGCCATCGTGCCCTGTCCCTCAGGGGCTCTGCCAGGGGCAGGACGGGATCAGTGCTGGGCCGGGCTCAGGGTCTCCCTTGGAACCCCCCCACATCCCTTCCCCTGGTTTGGATAGCACAGTTCACACCAATTAATGCAAGCCCTGCCAGGCTGGAGGCACAAATGCAGGAAAACCAGAGAAAGTGGATGAGGCTGGTTTTAATTATTATTTACCTCTTTCCTCCAGGCACACTGTGTACAGCTGTGCTCAGGAACCCCATGTCTTTCAAATTCTACAGGAATTGGGCTTTTCAGGGCCCCCCACATAGAGCAACAGCCTGTGGTATCAACAGCAAGAGCCTCTGTTCCATCCCTGACTGATCCCATCAGCTCGGGCGAGCACGTTCTGTCTGGGAGAAGCCAGACACCGCCACGGAAACAGGAGATAAGGATGAGAGAGGGAGAAAGATGGGGATGGGCAGTCCAGAGGAGGAAGAGATGGCACAAATAGAGCCTGGGGTGCTCCCCCTGCTCAGACAGCCCTTGTGGGGCTCAGGGTGTGCACCCCAGCCAGGCAGCAGCTCCACAGTGACAATGATTTTGGGGACAGCACTGGCTCAGTGATCACAGGAGTCTGATGCTGGACAGGTTAATTCTCCTTTCAAAGGGCTCCTGGGCAGGCACGGCCTGGGGACACTCAGGCAGCACGGGAACTGTGCACACACGCCCTGGCAAGGCTCCCAGGGGGCTTCAGCCTCACCAGGAGCTCTGACTGTCCCCACCACGCAGGTGGCAGATTTACACCCAAAACCGCCACCCCCGAGCAGCCCTGCTGAGGGGTTGTGATGCTGCAGGCCTGGGGCCCCTTCCTTCTTCAGAGGCTCAGAAAATGAAAGCAGAGCCCTCGGTTCTGCTTCCTGCCCCTTGCTGGCCTCACTTCCCCATTCCCTCAGCTCCCAGGCTGCTGCAGAGCTGAAAAAAAATCAAACCTGAAAGTATTTGGAGATGTGGTAACCCATTCTCCTGCCCTACTCAGGGACAGCAAAGCTTATTCTCCCCAAATCATAGTTACAGTCAGTGCAAGACCATCCACATTCCTCCGCTTAAGCTGGGAAGCTCCATTTTGGGAAGGGAGCTCATGGTATCTTCCACTTGTCTGCAATACAGAGGCCTTCCTTCTCCAAATTTCTGCTTTTTAGAAAGACAGACACCAAAACAGGCTTTCATATAAATGATAATTTTATTGTAAATAAAATGATACATTGGCCTGGCTTTGCACTGCAAGCCCCTGGTCGGTAAATAGAGACTACTGGGTCAAGGTCTTCTGCACAATCCAGGTTAAAGCCCTTTCTCCCTGCTTTGCATCATTTATGGTGATAACAAAATCCTTTTCTTCCTTGTTGAACTGCTTTTGGCACACTTACCTTTCCCCTCCTGTCAATGTTGGTAACTGGTGTCAATGGGAACTCTTTGGAGCAGCTTCCAGTCCTTTAGAATATTATTCCAAATTAGGCCGAAAAAAACACCCCAAAACCCCATCCAAATTGATGCATCCTAACTGCCACAGAACGGGCAAAGATGGGATTTTCTGGAGAACAAGCAAGTAACCTGGAATGCACAGAATCGTCACACCAAGACCAAAATGTCACTATTTTGTTTCCTAACTGCCTCAGGGACAGCCACATTCCCCCAAGTTCCTCTCCAATGGGAATCTTGGACATTTTTCTGCTTAGTTTTAACCATTTCAGGACACTGGGACTCTGATAAGAAATTCTTTGTCAAACAGAATGTTCTCCATTTCTGCAGCACCTTCCACCAGAGATGCCAATACTCAATATTCCCTACATATACCTCCCTGGGAGGAACAGCAGGAAATCCAACATGACATTTGGAATTGATACAATAGCTTATTGTCAGCCTGGCACTCCTCCACTCTTCCCTAAATGAGTTTATTCCCAGTTTTTTCCCAGTCTGCCAGGATAAAGAGGCCAGATATAATTCAGTTCTGAGGTATAATTACATTTCTGTCCACTTGAAACTCTTTTGCTGCCAGGGCTGTTAAAAGCCCATGGTATCAATGTCAGCCCCAAGTTATTCATCGAAGCAGTGGACTCAGGAATCCAGATCTTCCTTTTCCATAATCAAGAGGGCTGTGAGGAAACAAAGAGGCATTTTGGCTTGGCTCTACTCATTATAAACCATCAGCAAATTCTCTGCAAAACCAGCTGCTTTTTTTCCTTTTTAAATTCATAAAGGCGTCAAATTAATTTCCCTACCTCCCCCCACCCCGTAACAGTCGATATATATAAAAATCACCAAATATGATCTTTTACGATATAAATTAAAAAAAAAAAAATATGAGGCATCACCGTTTACATGATGTAAAAAGAGCTAAAAAGAGCGATATAAACTACATTCATAAAAGTGCATCTCCAAACATACAGGTAATGCTTTGGCTTGTTCCTGTGCCGAACGCGCCAGTCCGAGCTGGCCCCGTGTTCTCTGTCGCTGCTGCTCCGTGCCAGGCTGGAATGCAGCTCTGCACGCAGGCACATCCAGCCCGGGATGTGGCATGGAGGAGGCACATCCAGCTCGGGAAGGGCTGGGAGCTCGGGGGCAGCTCAGAGCCCAGCGGTCCTGGTGCTCCTGCTCTGCTCTGTCAGTGCCTCCCGTGACGCGGGTGAGGTAAAAGCCACAACAGCTCCTGAGGGTTGCGTTGCTTTGACACAAGTTCTGCCGTTTCCTCACGCCCTGTTCTCTCCCAGACCACAGCATGTGGCACAGCAAGAGAAAAACCATGGGAGAAGGTCTGGATTTGGTGAGGACAAGCCAAGGATAGAGGGAAACCCCTGCAGATGTCATCGTGCTCCTGATTCCTGCAAGTGATGGGCAGGGGATGAAGACTCCAGTCTTTGGTATATTTAGGTTGCAAGGCTTGAAGAGCTGGGCCCCCAGCGGTGCTGACCCCCCTAATTTGTCATGCAGACTGCAGGGATGGGTCCCCAGTCCCAGCAGAGCTGTGAAAAGCAGGGATGGGTCCTAATCCCAGCAGAAGCGTCACAGCCTCGCCTCCCCTCATGACAACAGCAAAGTGCAGGCCAAAGTCAGGCCAAGGGTCTGGACAATCTGGAGTCAAGTTCCTGGTTCAGAAAAGATCAGCTGAAGTGCTCTCACTATAATTAAATAAATTATGGAACAAGGGCTTTCATAAAAGGGATCCCCTAAGTGCCCACAAGTGGGACAGTGCATCCTTGGAGTAGTGCAGGGAGCCTGGAAAGGAAACCAACACCAGTTTTTATTGGCTACACTTTGCTCTGGGTTTGGCACAGAAAAAACATTTCATATCGTTAAAGCTTTTCAGGCCTTTTGGTTGGTTGGGGCTTTTAGGGTTCTTTTTTTTCTCTTTTAATTCAACACAGTATTTTTCATGTGTTGAAGGAGCTTGGTTTCATTAAAACTTGCCTTATCCTGCTATTAGTATTCACCTAAAAACTTAATTTTACTGCATTATGAAGCAATTTTCAATTTTTTATGGGGGAGAAGAGTGGAGATGTGTGGAACCTTAATATGGTTTCCAATACAAGAGTAGAACACCTTCAGTGTTGCCCTATAAAGCAATATTTTAGTTAATATTTGCTTTTCTTAGTTTAATTTCTCAGAAATAACTCCATGAATCCCCAGCACTTAAAAACCGCTGGTCTTTCACTAGTGAAAAAAAGAGTATTAGTGCCCAAATCAGCACAGAGATAGCTCAGTCCTCTGACTTGGGCTATCTTCCAAGTGCACAATCCCTTGGATATGTTTTGCTGGTATCTGCATGGGGATCTCCAGGTAATTTTAGATATTTGCTACCATTATAAATGTTGTCTGAGGTTCTCTGTTTGACCTGACTCCTACAAAAGCTTATTTAAGTTAGGCCATAACATTTTTATGGAACTCTTAAATGATCACTTGCACACCTGTAATTCAAACAACACACAGCAAAGGGTTGAGCTTGATTCCAGCTTCCTGTGCTCAACACAAGTGTCCAGGTAATCCTCCCCAAGAAACCCTCATTAGGCCACGTGCTCAAAGAAACTCTGAAGTCATTTCCTGCGCACCAGATGGACTATCTTTGGTTAAAAGGATGGTAAAAAGTTACCATCCAAAGAGACAGATGCAGGAGGAAACTGAATTCCACTGAATTCCCTTCCAGAGGGGTTTTGTTTGGACTCAGCAGCCCCAGAGAGAGGAATCAGGAGCACAGATTTGTTTGGTATGACACAAACTAACTGGCACTGTCCTAATGCTGGGACAGATCAAACCTAGCTCCAGATTTTCCAACATTAATGGGAGAGCTCTTCCCTCAGGCCCTGGAGTGATTGCATTCTGCTGAAATTCTCTGATTATCCTGACATTTAGCTGGAAAGACCTCCCTCACCCCCAGCCCCAAATCCACGGGTTCATTATAAAATAACACTATTCACATACTTTTGAATCAGTATCTTCTGAACACCTTCAGATGCTCAATACTCAAGAAGAAAAATATACCATACTATAGCGAGTGCATGCTCCGTG